GTACTGTGGTGGGTGTGTGGTGGGTGTGTGGTAGGTGTGTGGTGGGTGTGTGGTAGGTGTGTGGTGGGTGTGTGGTAGGTGTGTGGTGTGTACTGTGGTGGGTGTGTGGTGGGTGTGTGGTAGGTGTGTGGTGTGTACTGTGGTGGGTGTGTGGTAGGTGTGTGATAGATGTGTGGTGGGTGTGTGGTAGGTATGTGGTAAGCGTGTGGTGGGTACTGTGGTAGGCATGTGGTAGGCGTGTGGTGGGTGTGTGACAGGCGTATGGTGGACAACTTGAGGTGAGGCCGAGGGAGGTCTTCAGGTCAGTGAGGGGCCCTGGGCCTGGGTGTACTCACTCACACAGGCCTACTCCATGGGCTCCGTGCCACAGCAGTGGTCAGCCTCTGCTCTGAGCCACATTGCTGACTCGGGTAACTGCCAACTCGGCCTGTGCGGGCAGCCGGTCCCTCCAGGGCAGCAGTGGGAGTGAGGCCCCGCTGAGCGGCTGGGCTCAGCGCCACAGACGCCGCATGCCGTGTTCACAGACAGCAAGCAAATCAACTCAGACTGCCACAGCCAGGGTCCGAGCCACCCCGGAACCGTGGTCCTGTGTGTGGAGCTGCAGGGAGGGGTGCTCAGGCTGGGGAGCAGGCCTCAGTGGGCAGGCCGCAGCAGGCAGACCTGTGAGCCTGACTTCCCAGGCTCTGCCCTGTGAGTTCTGCCTCCAGCCTCTTTCCCTTGGGATGGTGCAAAGCCAGATGTGCACATGCGCTTTTCCAAAGTTACTCAAAAGAAAAGCAATAATAATAAAAAAAAGTAAGTCCAGCCCTGAGGCCACAGCCTCTGCCCAAGCACAGGCAGTGGGTGCTGGAGGCCGTCCACCCTATTGCAGGAGAGAAACGCCAAGAACTTCCCCTCACCACGGAAGGAAAGCACGAGAGCATGAGAGAGTGGCTCTGACAGGTGCAGGGAAGGAAGGGCAGGTGTCATCCTGAGTTCCAGTCTCCCTAATTCTCCTGCTCCTCCCGTGTGCTTGCCCAGCACTCTCCTTCTACACGTGAGCTGCTCTTCCTCTGAATACCCAGGCAGAAGTGTCACCACCTCTCCCTCGGGGCATGTGGAACCTCTCACTGTGAACCCCACATCCATGCCCATCCTGCTCTTCTTCCTCTGAGGGCTGGTGGCGGTGAGCAGAGCCAGTTGATTGCACACAGTCCTCGTCACTCCCTTGTCCCTTTCCTCCCTTGAGAAGACACAGCCCCATGAAGGATTCCTGTGCCTGTGACTCTAACTGGCCACAGGGTATTTGCAGATGACCAAGATAAAACCAGAGCTCAGGGACAATGCGGCCCAAGGCATAAAGGAAGATGTGACATCACATCTGGGAGCCAAGAGGGATCCAGCTGCACTGCGGACAGTGACACACTGAGGCCTGGCGCGGATGGTGGCACCACACCCGTGCTCTCCCTGGCACCTGTTTCTAGTGTGTTGTCCTAGCAGCCCCAGGAAAACAAGGCACCCCAATCCCCTCCCGCTGGCCCAGCCTGACTTTTCCTGACTTTTCCTCCTCCCCTCCCCTACCCCCCCCGTTCCCCCCAGTTCACTCTCACTGTGCAAATTAGTCACCTGTGAGTGCCAATTAGTCCCCTTAACACACCCCAGGACTGCTGTTGTTCTCTTGTTCTCCTTCAGTCAGCCTGCAGGACTATTTGTGACCATTTTTACTTGTCACCGTTGACAAGCTGAGCAATTCGTGCCAGGGGCAGTGGTCCTGGGGGACAGGAAATCCTGGCAGAGGCCAGAACGCCTTGGCCCAGCCCCGGCTCCCAAGAGAGACGGATTTGAAGGAGACTAAAAGGAGACTGTGCCAAGCGAGTGGCTAATGAGCTGCCAGGGCCTTCACCCGCACCTACGCCTTGCTTCCTGAGCCTTCCCTTCTGGCTCACCTTCGTGACCTGGGCCATCACACGTCGGCCGAGCTGGCCGGGTGGCGGTGCCTGCGTGGCAGTGCTGGCTTTCCTGGAGCAGCAAAGTAAAGAGGAGCAGGGCTGCGGGAGGCTGGGGCAGCAATGCCTCTCCCCAGGTCTCTGACCACCCCTGTCAGAGGCGCCTCTGAGGGGCCCCTGCCACGGGCCACACAGACTGCGCCTCCTGATTTACGCGTGGCAAGTGTTCCCTCAGGTCTTCAGCGTCCAGAGCCCGCGCTCAGGCTCCTCAGCCGACCCAGCTCCTGACGAGCATCCGGGGTCTGCAGACAGAGGTGCCGCATGGCTCCGAGCTGCCTTGCCACTGCTGCCGCCAAGCAGGGAAGAGGGGAGGAGGCTGACATGTGTCCAAGGAAACACACCAAGGAGGCTCAGCACTACGCAGAGCGCAGAGGGCAAGAGGCAGGGCCACGTGCAGGCCGAGAGCTGCTCAGTCCTCGGCCAGGCCCAGCGAAGAGGAGGCTGTGGAGCCTCAGCCTCTGAGGCCGAGCTGAGCAGGAACCACGTGTTCTCATCCTTGAAGGAAGACGAGGAGGAGGAGGGAGGATGCTAGCCCATGCCCCGCATCCCTGGAACGCACAGGCTGGATGTGGGGCAGAAGAGATGCGAAAGACGGTGTGAGACCTTGAGCTACAGGCTTCCAGTTCTGCGTGACCTTGAGCTACAGGCTTTGGCACCTTCTTTGGGGGGAAAAAACTGGCAGGACAGGATGGCAGTGCAGAGCACGTGCTGTCGTGTGGGGAGGCCAGGGGGGGCGCACAGCGCAGTGGAACTCTGGGTGACATTGCCAAGGAAACTGTCAGGGAGATGCAGAAAGGCCCAGACTCGGAGTCCAAGCTTGAGATCATTTCCCACTATTCCTGCAACATGGTTTTCTCTCCTAACTGGGCCCCACGGCCACGGCCAGTGGCTGCTGGGCTCTTTCCTAGACCTGCCAAGAAGCAAGGCGCCGGCCCCCCAGAGGACACACAGGATCTGGTACAGGAGGCAGCGAGTTTGCCTCTGATGCCACAGGAAGAGGAACAAGGCAGGGCTGGGGGACCAGAGCCGGGCCCCCACAGCGAGCTGTTGAGGTCCGGGGAAGGTGGCCATGGCCTAGGTCGTTGCACGTTTCCAGGTCAGGGGATTGCAGCCTGTACACACTCACGGGTATGTGAACCCTCACAGTGGCCCACGGCTCCCAGAGCTCATCCCCCAGAGTCATTGGAGCCGTGGGTGTCAATGTCACACAAACTCTCTGCCGATCAATGCCCCCCACCCCCCATGGTGCCTACATGATGCTGGATGCCCAATGGGTTCTAGATACTTCTCAGCCAACTCGCTTGAAACACTCTCCAACCTCCAGGCCTCGCACATCCTCCTATAGTGGGGTGCGGCCCCAGGCCCCTCGGCCGGCACACAGGCAAGGCTGCCACAGCCCAATGGTCACCCCGGCCAGGCTATCAGGTGATCACCCCCTGAAGATGGCCCTGGGCTGTAGCTTTTGGTCACAGAAGACAGATCGTTTCCAAGGATCCCACTGTGGGTCCTGGTGGGGCACCCTTACTCCTGGCTAGGTGACTGGGCGGGCAGCCCATCCAGCGGGGGACGTGGGCCCCACGGGGCACTCACCTATAAGGCCATCCCTGGCCAACTGCAGGGATTGTGGAGAGAAGAGCCTCAGGCCGTACATCACGAATCGGGGTGGGTGCCTGGCTTTGGCCCCAGCATCGAGAAGCAAAATAAGGCTGCACAGTACACAGAAATAGACGGGTCTGCTGTAGGTGATGATTTGGTTGTGTCCCTGGAAAACAAATACAATTTTATCCTAATTGTCAAGTCCCACACCACACAACACAGCATGCACCACCAGGCCTCTCCTGCCCTGCCACAACTCACACACAGACAACACCAGGAAAAGAACAAGGCCCAATGCTTGTTTGTAGAATGGAGCTATCACAAAGAATGATACACACTTCAAACCTGACAAGATTTATCTAAAACTTAACTACCAGCCTTACAGAAGATCGAAGTCAAAGCTTTCTCCAATAGTGAGAATTCAATCCAACTCATTCACTTCAAGGCAAAACTAGTCTAAGCCCTTATCGGCTCTAACCTGGCTTCACTGTTAATAGGAAACAGAATCCATAAGTTGTGAACTTGAGTCACTTCAAGTCCTAGAAAACAAAGCAGGCACAGAGCTGTGCCTACAAAGCTATGTGTGCAGGCATTTGTGTATGAATACTTGTATACATTTATGTGTAGGCCACATAAATCAGTGTAGGTTTACACTCGTTTTTTTTTTTTTTGGTCGGTCGTGGGGCTTGAACTCTGGGCTTGGGCGCTGTCCCTGTGCTCTTCAGCTCAAGGCGAGTGCTCTACTGCTTGAGCCACAGCGCCACTAGGCCACAGGTGTGTAGGCACATGCGTGCATATGTAGGTACATGCACACGGACACACACACATGCACACGTGAGAAGCAGGAATGGTTCATTGTTCTCAAACGGCAGGGAAATTCAGGAAAGGATGTAACATGGAGGTTCGAGAGCAAGAGTCAACCAACAATTCGCATTTCACAAACCAACGTGCAATTCTTCTTTTCCCCAGAAAAGTATATTTTGCAACTCTCAAAGTGCTTCGAGTGTGAAGGGCAGGGCCAGCACGTGTGGCAGACATGAGGTTCCAGTCCCTGTCCGCACGGGTGACACACAGCTGTGCGATGCGCCTTGTCTCTGCTCCTGAGCAGCATGGCTCTGTTCTGAGCCCATCTTCTCACAGGAGACACGTGTGCTGGCTGTGGTCGGTGCCCCTGGACCAGCCGAGGTCTTGGAAGGCATTTGCATTTGTAAAGAATTTTCCTTTGAATCCAACTAGGTCACATATTAATGAGTGTGGAAAGATTTTTTTGCATCAAAGAAATGAAAACAAAATCAAAGTCGGTCCACATGGACTTGCCAGGCAAATAGCAAAAGACATCACTAGTGTACGGGGCAAGGAGGACATGGCCAGGCCTTCCGCTCTCCACAAAGAAGAAAAGAGGAGGGGACAGGGGCAGGGAGAGGTGAAGGAAGGGAGAAGAAGAAAACCCCGCATCGCCTTGCCCCTGACCCCCATCTGCACCTTGCTGAGGGACCCGCTGGTCCAGCCACAGCCCCCCCAGAAGCCCACCTGTGTACTTGGCATAAGCTGGCCTGATGTCCGCCCAGGAGGAGAGCGGAATGCTAACGCTCTACTACTTCCCTAAGAGTAAACAGGGTCTTATTGTTTTGAAGATGAGGTGTCTGAGAGATCTTCAGGGACACAGGGGCTGGGATGTGGGGGGGGCCCTAGGGGGTGAGTGGTGGGGGAGGTCCACAGCCCTTCCAGAGCCTCGTCTCCTCAGGCCTCACCAGACAGAAGAGCTACACACACTGAGCATGCTCAATCCATTCCTGCCTTTCCCGCGCCCGGCACCCCCTTCCTTTCCGTGGACCACAGGACTGACCCTAGGACACCCCGCCAAGCACACACTGCCATGCTAGCCCTGATGAGCGTGGACAATTGCTCCAAACTGGCCGCTTGTACTCTGGGGAGCGAGTGAAGCAGAAATGCCAGAATTCATCACCATGCCTCCCAGAGCACACCCAAGGTGGGGTCTGGCGCACCCCCCTACCCCACCCCCCATCCTGTGGATGGAAATCCTCGGGCTGGCGCTGGCATTGGGGCTGGGAACCGGCTCTGCGCCCTGAGCCTGCGATCTCCCTTGGACATCGCCTTTTTCAAATTTTCCCACCTCTAAGTTGGAGATCATGAATCTGCATTCCGAACACCACGTGGCTCGGCTTGGATGGCAAGAGGAAATGCTGGTGAGTCCTTTTGTTTTTTCCCCCTTCCTTAGAACCATGGGAGAACTGCCAAGGAAGATTAGAGACTAATCTACTAAGAAATCTGTTCAAGTGAATTAATTACTGCACTGAACGAGCTCCAAGCCTCCCTGGGACAGAAAGGAAAGTCCTCTCTTGGGAGCTGCAGGGAATCACGCCCCCGGGGAAGGTGCAGCCTGCTCGCTCTTCCCAGAACCAGTCAGACACGTGGCATGGGGTCACGTGAGGACCTCGCCTGTCCTGCCTCGTTTCCCAGCACCCAGGGAAGTGACGCTCCACGTAGACACCAGCCCCCTCCAAGCCACCCAGAAAGGCAGCAGCAGTGGGGCACAGGGGTGGTGGTGGGGAGTCCCAGACCACCGCCCTTCCAGGCCTGATGGTAATCACAACAAGACATCTCCATGCACTGATTACACACCGCTACTGATCCTGACGTTTGGACTCAATAATAAAGCAAGAGGTACCCCATGTAAACCAATTATGGAGAATGAAGGGTTTCAGGAGATGGCCTCTAACCCATGGGATCACTCCATTATAAGCCTCCCTCAATTACTATGATCCCACACAGATTAAAAGTCAGCCCTAGGAAATTTCTTAGATGTGAATGTTTTAAAAGTGGGTGGAAGGACAGCCAGCTTTCCCTGGGACAGCCAGCTTTCCCTCCTTGCAAAGGTTTGTACCAGGAGCCTGCCACGCGTGGCTGGCCAGGGCCACAGGGCACCAGCACTAGCATCAGCAGGACAGGGCCTGGCCCGCAGCACCCACTGGCACCAGGCAGCTGCGAGTGCATGGTGAGCAACAACAGGTCCAGATGGTGAAAGATCACAGCACACCAACAACGAGGTAGCCCCGGAGAGTTCTTTACGTACAACAAAAACGTAAAGTGCAACCTCAGCAGAGCCGACCTCAGGTCTCCTGGGCAGGTTTATCAAACAGACAAAAGGTGAATGCTGGCTGGTGGGGTAGAGTAGGACGGACCTGGGAGGCGCAGCATTACAGCACCATGGAAAACCGCGTGGAGGCCCTCACGCGCTCTTGAGCCAGGCGGCCATAGGACCTGGCAGTCCTGCTGTGGTCGCTCCAAGAGAATGCAGATATGTAGGTGGGTGCGGGGAGGGGAGCATGAAAACAAGATCCAGAAAATGCCTGTGTGTCTACTGATGGCTGGTCCGTGTAACACGCATGCATGCAACACGTGCACACACACACAACACTACAAAGGGTGAGCACCGCATGACCTCACTCTGCTGGATCCAAAAATGTCAAATCATGGACGCAGAGCCCAGCACTGTGGTTGCAGGGGTAGGGGAGACACTGGCATGGGGGGGGGACAGGGGCAATGGGCCTGGGAGAGCAGTGCATCACCATCACACCTGCACGGTGCTGGGACAGTTTTGTTAAGTACATGGAGGGGTGGTGATGTTCATTAGCTTCGTTCAGCCATTCTGTCACATATCGATACAGCAAAGCACCCTATTTTACCCCAAATATGTATGATAATCCTTTGAAAATGAGCCTGATTCCTACTCACAGAATTGCTACAAGCCCACTCCCTGTGTTATTTAATACTTACAGGCCTCATGGTAGGCACAGGACACACAGGGACTCGAGGCCCCGAGCCCCCCAGCCTCTGAGCCACCCCCCACTCCAGGCCTGTCTTCTCCCTCAAGGGCTCTGCCCTGTGCCCACCCCATGCAGCCCCAGGCCCATCCCCTCCCGCTACCCCCCAGCTCTGTCCAGAGCACAGAACCACGTGCTTGCTCCTGTCTGGTAAGTGCCCTGACATGTGAGAATGCGGTGAGGACTTACGTGGACTGGAGAGGCGGGGTCAGGCTGCACGCTCTGAAACACAAACCAGAAGTGCGCGTCACCTCTCCGCAAGGGCTGGTGGGTCTGTCTCTCCCTGAGCCGGGAGTGCTGGGAGGTCAGGGGCAGGGGTGCAGGAGGGTAGGTGGGTGGATCTGTCTTGCCTTGAGCAGGGAGTACTGGCAGCTGGCCATGACCAGGCAGAACAGCAGCACCCACAGGTCCTTGCAGAAGCCGCGATTGAGTGTCAGGAAACCCAGAAAGGACACCAGGACGCCGAGCAGGACCGCCAGCACATTCTCCTTAATGTCGTCAGTTCTGTGCATGTGGGGAAACAGAGGAAAACAGACAGGAGGTGGGCTGGGCTGAGCAGTGGTGGGCAGACTAAAGACCCTGCGGGGGGCTGAGGGGCTGCTTCTGAACCTTCACATCCATTGGGAGGCTCAACAGCCTTGCCCTTCCTCCTTTTCCTCTCTTATAGTTATGTTATTTAAATAAAGTCCTGGCTTCCATCCCAGGTCTCTGTAAAATAAAAGAAACATATCCCACTGGACCTCCTCACCCACAGTACTGAGCCCTGTGCATGTGCATGTATATGTGCGTGCATGTGTGCGTGCACGCGCGCATGTGCGTATGCCAGTCCTGGCTCTGGAACTCTGGGCCTCGGCACTGCCCCTGAGCTTTCCCATTTTGCTCAAGGTTAGTGCTCTACCACTTGAGTCACAGTGCCACTTCTGGCTTATTTATTGGAGATCTCATGACTCTCCCGCCCAGGCTGGCTTTGAACTGTGGTCCTTAACCTCCTGAATAGATGTGGTTACAGATGTGAGCTGCTGGGCCTGGCTCAGCACTGGACTTCTTAGTAGCGTGGCAAGATTTGACCCACAGAATTATCCAGAGCTTCCTGGGCTCCTCTCAATACAAAGGAAAGGACAGTACATGAATTGACCTGCAGGAAGTCATTTCCAGACACTGTCTCTGGAGCAGTCTGCTGTCCTGTCCCAGGAGCAAATAAAAGATGTGTGTACAAGTGTATGCATGCACACATGCATACACGTGTATGCTTACACATTACACATGCACACAGGCACATGTGGATACATATATACATACACACATGCACACAATGCATTATGCACGCATGTACATAATACACGTGTGCATAGACACACAAATATGCATGTACATGGTTATGCGGCTCCAGGCTCAGGCCCGCTAAGGCTTGGGTTCAGTGTCTGGATTTGATATGATGTGACTTCGTGACCCAACGTTTTATTTTTAATTTTTCTGCTTTCAGAGTTCTAGCTGACAATCAGTCATAAGGATGGCAGCGCCTACAGCCGAGAGCCCCCACAGCCCACATTACAGGAAACTGAGGCACAGGGGCTCTCAGAGGGGCTGACTGGATTTCTGGGCTTCTGCACCGTCTGGCTCCACACCCACTGGGCTGGGCGAGAGAGAGGGGCTCCGCCAGCCCGCTCCTGAGCAGAAACTAAAATCCACGCATGCCTCTCAGAAAAAACAACAAGATGGCAAAAGTGATACCACTGCATAAGTTTTAAAAGGGCCAATAAATTTAAGACAAGTGAGGGGAAACGTGGGTTGAAGTGGATGGTGAGAAGCTGGAAGGGGCAGCACTGTGCTCATAAACTGCTTTGTTTAGTGGAACTCCTTGTATTAAAGATATTAATAAAAAGGAAAGAAAATTACCACAGCTGAAAAACTAATTTGGTAGCAGCACAGACCATCTGACAACACTGCCAAGGTGCTGGCACCTGGGGTAGAATCACTGCTTATTAAATCTCTGTACCAGTTTTTCAGAGCAACACCGGTGCTGGGAAACCTGCTGCTATCCCGACCTGACTGTGGCTCCTGTCCACGGAGTCCTCCACTCACTCCACACACTGACTGCGTCCGAAAACTATGCTACAGCATGTCACAGGGTGAAAGGAGGTGTGGTCTTTACCTTTAAAACAAATGACTCACAGAAGCGTAGGAGAGACAAGGATTTAAAAGAAAAAATGATGGTGACAATCATCCATTTTCAAAAACTCAACTAGTCTTCTGGTTAAATTCTGTTGTTGTTGTTTGGGGTTTTTTGGCTAGTGAGTAAGTCTTAAACAAATACAAGATTCTACAGAAAGGTTTGTTTTTAATATACAGGGCTACCACTAGCTGTTGTAATTTTCGATAGTTTCTAAAGATAAACATTAATATTTAAAGAGAGGCCTCCTTTTACTGCATGGTAAGCGCTGCATGGTGCTGGCGTCCTGCCCGGGTACCCAGAGCTGCGAGCAGACACCTGCCGGCCCCAAATTGACTGATGTCATTTTTCAAGAAGGTTGTTTTTGTTGCCTGTGATCATGTTGTTTAAAACATTACTGTGCATTACCATGACAAGCTGTCACCCAGGGACCGAGGACAGCCGGATGGCCCAGCCTCCACCCCCGGGGACTGCCAAGAAATTTGTTCCAACAGCCCCGACAACCTGAATAGCCCGCAGCAGTCCAGAGTTGGTGGACACGGAGTGCCCCCCCAACCGAAGCCACTCTCCTCCCCAACCCCTCCTCCCCGCCTGTCCCCCAAGCAGCACATCTCGGGCACACCCCACTTCCCCTGGGGCAGAGAGAAGGGTGGGGGTGACCGGGAGAGCCACTCCAGTCAGTGCCATGTCAGGAAGGAGCGTGAGATCCGAATCTATGTATGCTCACTGGCCCCATGCCGCCGGCCCTTGCTCGCAGCTCACCGATCCAGTAACGCCAGCAGCGTGAGGCGGTCGTACCACACTTTAATCCACTTGCCAGGGAAAATGATGAATTTGTAAAACTGCTCCCGATTAAACTTTCCTTGCGCAGAAGAACAGGATGAGTCTTCCAGATCCTGGCTGACATGCTTTGAAATGAAAGACAGAGTGAGAGACAGAGAGAGAATTAGAGAGAGAATTTCATGGTGCCAGGCCACGGACACCAGTATACACCAAAACTCAAAAATACCAACACAGATGTTCAAATTCTGAAGGTAAAAGCCCCACACTCGGTCTGCAGTATGCTCTCTGACCAAGAACACGACCTCTGGGAACCACACATGTCCGCCCCCTGTAGCACGAAGTCTCCAATCAGAGCACCATGCTCACGAAGATTAAGACACTGCCGAGACCAGCTTTCACATGAAATATGAGACTCCAACAATAAAACATCTAAAGTGAGCCGGGAGCTGGGCTCCAACCTGTAATCAATACATGAGAAACACAGACTTTGCCAGGGAAAAGCACAACTTTGTGGAATGGAGTGCTGGGGCTGGCAGGGACCACTGTCCCGGTGGCCCAGAGCCGTTCTCAGCAGAGGTGTGAGGGCAGGTGTGTGGTGAGGGCAGGTGGGGGGTGAGGGCAGGTGTGTGGTGAGGGCAAGTGGGGGGTGAAGACAGGTGGGGGTGAGGGCAGGTGTGGCTCGGTGGTGAGGGCAGGTGTGCAGATGTGTGTGGTGAGGGCAGGTGTGTGTGGTGAGCACAGGTTGCAGTTTTCCCTGGGATTCTTCCAGTCCTCTGGGCACTTCCATGAGTAGTCTTGCTGGGCCATTCTAATCAGTCCTTCCTCTTGCCTGCTTTTATTTTGTGTTTCCTGCATAGTTTCCTGCAGCTGACTGGCACAGGATACCGTGTGGAGGAAAGGAGAAGGGAAGGGGAGGAGGAGGAGGGCAAGAGGGTGGCGGCAGCTGGGTTGGCTTCCCAAGGCCTCGCATCTCCTTGGCACGGAAGAGGAGTGAAGCTACACACGCTGGACTCAGGCTGAGTCGCTGACATCACGGACCTGGCAAGTGTGAGTGCAGCCAGCTGCTCTGGGGGCCTGGGGACTGGGGACCCACTGGGCTCAGCGCTGGGCAAGGGGCAAGGCAGGCTCAGCGCAGCTCAGGGGGCAGAGCGGGGGCAGGGAGGAGGGCCGAGCCATCTCGACAGCAGCATGGGGGACAGGCCAGCCTAGGGGGCCAGGGTGGGGACTGACCACCACCTGGGCCTGTCTGGGACTCTGTCCAGCACTGGAGCTTCAAAACCTGGCCCTGAACTGTGTCCATGAGGCAGCTGGTACCCAGGACTGACAGCAAAGCCGTCCTTTCCTGCCGTGCCCCACAGATGGCGCAGGTGAGCAATCTACCCACAGTCTGGCAGGCTGCCCTGGTGAAGCGGGCATGGGGACGACACACAAGCAGGCCAGAGACTCAGCACCTGCCTGGCTGGCCACAGCTCACCTCACATCACTTCCTTAGAGCCTAGGACTGTGCCCTTTACGAAACCTAATGGTGTGGGTTTGCAGAGCTGTTCGCTGTAGCTCCAACGGAAGTCCCTGCTTTCACAAAAGTCTCTTCAGACCTTACAGGGAGGGACCGGGAAGGAGGCCCCAGGGAAGGACTGCTGTGGGAGGCCCTGTGGGTCAGGGCTGGGGCTGCACATCCCGTCGGGTGCAAACGCACCCCACAAGTTCTTGAGGGACCCTACGGCCTGGTGGCTAGGAGGGACCAGACGGAAGAGCAAGTGAGCAGGGGTTCCATGACCTGACTGTCCCCCTTCCCCCAAGGCTCAGGCTGCTGGCAGCCCCCCGGCCCGTCCACCAGGGGCACGTCTCAGGGTTCCCCTCTGTCTCCGGCACCCTGCCACACATACCCGGGGCGGTTCTGACGGCGTCCTCCGGGCCGCCATGAGCAGCAGCTGCTGCTGCAGGGCGCTGACCACGGGGTCCCCTGAGGACGGGTCCGGGCTCCCAGAGGTGGTGGTGCTGGAGGAGCTCACAAGCGTCTCCCTGCAGATGGGTGAGGCGAAGGCTATGTCACCCCTGGCCGGGAGCTTGTCGTGGAAGCACAAGGGGGTGAGGGGTGAGCAGCACGGCCGCAGTGGAGAGCTGGCATGGATGCGCACGGGCACTGCAGGCGCCAGGCCAGCACGGTCAGCCCCAACCACCATGCTGCCCAGGGCCTTGGGCCGTCACAGTGCCTGGCTACAGTGGGGAGAGGTCCCAGGGATCAGGGAACAGCCCCAGCTGTGGGTGGGTGGCAGGGACAGAGGAGCGGCGGCCCCAGGCTCCAGCTTCACGTTCCCCAGGCCCCCACCAGGAAGCACAGGACGACCCCCCCCCATCCACCGCTCAACCACCACATGCCTAACCCAGCTGCAGATGCGTGCCTGGGGCAGCTGTCCTTGGTTAAACTGTGTGGTAAACTGAGGCACCAGGCCTCCTTCACTTAGGCTAAAGGCTGGGTTCATTTTTGCAGAGTTGGTGGCCAAGCCAAGGCACTGCTTGTTTCCCAGTTCTGTCATGACAGGTTTCCTGTCAAAGCGGCCCTGGCTGGACGCCTCCCGAGGGGCTGGTGCTCCCAAGACGGAGCTCCACTCACCGGACATGGGCAACGCCATCCAAGCTGGCCACAGGGCATGGTGCGGGGCCTTCCTTCTGCTTCCCGGACTTCAAGTAACAGGACCGGATCTCCCCTGCAAAATCGGCCATGTCATCAGGGCATCCCCGGGAGCCACGGTGCGTCTCTGGCTGTTCACAGCTCGGCAAGGCCCATGCCCGCGGGAGTGGAGGGAGGCCTGTCAGGCATGGGCTTGGCGGCCCCCACTCAGAGGGGTGGGTAGATGGCACGTGGCTGCATGGCTGCCCTCTGGAGCTTGTCCACAGCGCGAGAGGCCATGTGGGAGGCTGCACGGGGCGTGGAGGGCGACACCTCCCGAGAGCTATGGGAGGTCCCAGCACCCCACTGGCCCGGGCAGCACCTTGGGGCCGGCAGTGCAGTGAGGGCTCCCCTGGCCCCCCAGCCTGGACAGTAGTGCTAACATTGTTCTTTTTAACCTAACAGCCACTCCATGTCTGCAGATCCAAACACACTGGAAATTACAAACGACCGGACCAGATATGATAAGCTAGGACTTGTTATCCATGCCAGGTCCTTCCACTAGGCCCCACTAGGACCCTGAGAGACCAGCCAAGACCTAGTCCACAGAACCAGGACCTGAGTTTCCACCTTGGAATTGGGAGCCAGCCACTTAACGGTTCTCTAGTCACATGATTTAGCCTTCTGATGGAAGTCACTGGAAAAGCTCGTGGGATCACACCCAGCACCTTTTCCCAGCAGTGGCTCTAGGCTGCTACTTTACAACTCTGTGGGGGTGGGGTGGGGAGGGTTATTAATCAAGTCATTGTAAGTAGATAAATATGGACTGTGATGTCCTAGAAGAAAAGGGACAGTGTAATGTTAGAACAACACAACAGATGCCCCTGGTCCCAGCTGAGAGGAGAAATGCCGGGTTTCAGGCAAGGGGACACAGCATGTGCAAAGTCCCAGGGGCACCAAGGAGCACATTCTTCCCAAGAACCCTACGGGGCGATCCCTCAACTCTCCACATATTGCAACCCCTGATGCTCAGGCTGTGGGACTCAGCTAAAGCTGCCTGCTTTCCACCCATGAGAACTCATGGGTCTCAGGGAACCCCGTGAGAATGCTTGCGGGTGGGGCTGAGACCCACCGCGCTCATCAATGAAGACCTGCATGGCGTCCGCAGAGGTCTCCTCCTGCCCTGAGGTTTCCGGCCCACTGATGACCTGCAGGACGGAGCTGTCCTGCTGCGAGGTGACCCTGTAGATGATCTGCCTCTGCCGGCCGCCCTGGAAGCTGAGTACACACACATTCTGAGGTCAGGCCCTCCTCCGGCTCTCAGCCAGGCCCATGATATGCAGCCTGTCCGGGGAGAGCCCTTACAGAGTAGTGGCCTGCACGGGGGGCGTGCAAGCTGGGCTGGTGCTGGCGGGCTCCCGGCTCGCGGCATCTGGCTTTCCTGGCCCAGGATCTGGTCCACCGGGTTCCTTCTTCCTCCCTTGGATGTCACAATCTGGAAAACAGGGGAGCGTGCGAGAGCTGAGCTTCCCAGGCCGACACTGGCTGAGACGCGCACGGACACTGTGCACTTCTAAATGAATGCTTGCTTGGCTCAGTATGGAAGTCCTGAACAGATGCGGAAGCCAGGAGAACTGTGCACCAGAGGCTGGGGGTGCAGGCTTGGCGAACACCCCACCTCTGCACGGGTCTGGCGTCTCGGCACCGGGACAGCCTAACAGCCTCCATGCAGCCGTCCCCCTTGGGGTAGCTAGCCGCCTTGCCCCGGAGGGGATGCGGAGGTCAGTCTTCACTTGCTCTACCCTTGGGTGTTCTTTGCTGTCCTGGAGGGTGTCCTGATTGTCAACTGCTGACCCTACTCACTGGCACTGACGTCCCTGGGGCAGAGTCTGAACACACCAACTCTCACACTCAGGCCAATCCCATCCCTAAGATCTCGAGTATGCAAATATGGCAGTCTGAAGACTAAACCCCAAAGCACGTCTGGTTCCAGGCATTTCAGATAAAGGAAGGTTCTCCTGTGTGTGCGTGTAGATGTGTGTATGTGCAGGGGTGTATGTGTGCACGTGTATGTGAGTGTATGTGTGGGTATGTTCACTCATCTCAGGCATTTTGGATAAGGAATGCTCCTCCTGTATGTGCAGGGGTGTGTGTGCACATGTGCACATGTGTGAATGTGTGTGAGCACGTGTGTGCATGTGTGTGCATGTGTTGGCCTATGGCCATCGTGGAGCCCAGTACTAGCACTCGTGGCTAGGATGAGCCGGTAGGGAAGGCGGCCGGTAGCTAGGCCCTGCAGACAAGTACAGACCCTGAGCACAGAGGCAGGCACCGTCCCCTCCCACGTTAGTGGGCAGAGCGGGTGGGGTCTCACCTGGGGGTCTCTGGCCCGGCCCCGGGGAAGTGCTGATGGACTCCAGCAGGGAGACAAACTCCAGGAAGTTGGACTCGTCTGGCACCTGTCCCCCCTTGGCCTCCAGGTCAGACTTGGAGGCCGGCATGGGCCCCTCCTTGCTGTTGGCCACCGCAGCGAAGATGTCCGTGCCGCTGCCCACACTGAGCACACGGGCATGCCTCTTCTCCTGGCCACTCCTACAGGAGGCTGGGTCCAGGCTTGCCTGGCCTTCGCTGCCCACCCCAGGCTTGGAGGCTCCCACAGGGGCGGGCTCTGGGGAGGGCCTCGGGGCAGTGATGGCCTCCCGGGAGGCACAGCACCCGTCTCCGGATCCAGATCCACAGGCCCAACACTGACCTGAGGCCCCTGCCTCCGCTCCCTCCGGGGTCCTTTCCCTTCCCTGGCCACTCTCTGCCCCATCCTCGGGCAGTGCCAGGGTGACCACAGGACCCCGGGTCTGCTCGTGGTCTGCGTCAGAGCTGAGCATTGTCACGTCCCTGCCCGCACGTGTGGCTTGCAGGTCCAGAGAGCTGCCTGTGTCGCTCACAGAGTTTGGGGTGCTGCTCATGGTGACAACGATTCTGATGGGCTCGCATGCGCTCAGTGGGTCCCCGCGCTGCTTGGCCCTGGGGAGGGACGTGGCCAGCTCACTGCTGGAGCCGTCTACATCCTGGTTCAAGGCCACAGCACTGGGGCTGCCAGCCCCCTGCGCCAGGGGCCTGGCCACCGCGGTGTTACACTGCGGGCAGCTGCTGCTCAGGGCACCCGGCTCCCGCGAGGGGGCCTCTGGGCCCGGGATCGAGTGCTCACTGCCCCACGGAGGGAAGGACACATCACGCTGTGACAGTGACAGTGGCGGCATCGTCTTCAAGGCACCCGAGTCCTCCAAACCGCCCTCCGACCTGTGCCGGGCCGGGCGCGTCTCTGCCCTGCGGGGCTTCTCGGCCTCCTCCATCCTGGGCGCAGGGGCCAGCCCCTGGGGCTGGGAAGCCGGCAGGCACCGAGTCCCCGTCCCAGGCTGGGCAGATGGTGGGGGGTGGTCATCGGACAGTGCAACCCCTGCAGTGAGCGACAGATGGAGTCTCACGGGGATGCACACACCAGGCCCAGAGCCAGGAGCAGCCCCGGAGCAGACCCACAAGGATGTCTGCATCTAGGAACATCACCGTGGCCAGGAATTGTTCCTGAAAGATCTGCGTTTAAAATACAAACCCAGTGTCAAGAGCTTCTGCTGCTGTGGCCTCAGGGAACAGCCCCATGGCTGCCCCCCCTCCCCCAGATGGGCTCCCTCCTCACCTGTCACACTGAGTGACACACTGGTCCACCCGAGAGAAACAACTGCGAGAACGGCAGCAGCCAACCTTTGCCCGTGACACCACCCCACACACAACCCTGGTTGTGATGATCAGGCCTAAGTCCACCGTGGCCCAGTAGCCCCGAGTGACAACGTGCAGCGGGCTCGCAGGCGCGTGCAAAGGCAGCCACGCCGTGTCCTGTGTGACCCGAAGGGCGGCCCTCTCCTGCCCGCTCCCCTCAGCAGACGTGACATGGACAAAGGCTTGGCGAGGCTGAAGCAGATCCGTGGTCTCAACTCCGTTGTGTCCATGGGCACTGACATGGGTGCCAGAGACCCCCCCTTCCCGCAAGATGGCTACAGAAGATGGGGAGCCAGTGGGTGATGCCTACCTTTGAGATCCTCCACTGTCCCAGGCACCGCCAACTCCTGGAACACACAGAGCAACGGCTTGACTTCCCGGCTTCCCAGTGGCCAGGCCCTGCCCTTCCCCACAATGGGAACAAGGGAGACAGATACCAGACACCTGGCCGACCAAACTCCACCTCAGCCAGTGGCAGGGCACAGTGGTGCATGCTGGCTATCCCCACATCCGGGGGAGGGGAGCACAGAGGTGCATGTCTGCCATCCCCACACCCAGGGGGGCATGGACAGGATCACTGTCCAGGCCTTCTCTTAAAATAGCCAGCTCAAAAAGTGCTGCAAGTGTGGCTCGAGCAGACAAGATTTACTGTGGATGCAGCCTAATCCCAAGGCAGACAAGTATGATGGCAGGCTGGGTGATAGGCAGGAGGTTGGAATGTAGGGGGGTGTCGAGGGTGGCAGGGAGGAGGCAGGGGGCTGTGAGGGGGGCGACAGGATATGGGGGTGATGGGGAGGGAGATGACACAGGAAGCACAGGTCACACGCCATGCTGGGGCTGACACAAAGAGGCCACCCACGGAGAGACCAGAAGAGGGGTGGGAGTGTCCGCTGTGTCCACTGGAACGGCCATGGAGAGGTGGCGTGGGGTGGCCCGTGGGGATCCCCGCCTTCTTGGTGCTGTGAAGATGCCTGGAATCACAGATCCAGCAAGAAAGACAGAGCTGTGACAGCCCCGGCCAGTGCCAGACAGAACGCCTGACCCGCCCTCCCCCCCTCCCCTGACCCCCACCTCCATTCTCACACACACGCACACACTCAGAGCTTATCTTAAGGGAGGTTCTGGGGTTCTTTTCAAATAATAAAGCCTGCTTTCTTAAGGAATGTGGGGAACATTCCAGAACATCAGGGGCACATGTTCCTCCTGTGGTCTGTGCTGTGTGCAGTCCTGTGTCCACACCACCCTTGCTCAGGGCACCGTGGCCAGCTCTGAGCACTGGAGTGACAGGACTCAAACCCCACTGCCCCCACTGCCGGCCACGCCAAAGGGCTGGGGCTATGGTCATGGTGTGGCTAGACCAGCAGCCAGGGAGGCTGCTGGGCGGTCTCTGATGCGCTGGGCGGCTGACCTGGGGTTCTTGTGGCTGGCCGTGCGCTCGCCCTTGGCCTCCCTGACAGTTGGTGACTTCTCCCTCCCCCGGGGGGGCCTCTGGCAGATCACCTCGCCTTCATCAAACATGAGATGCAGGCGGTAGCTGACCAGTTTGATGGCCGCGAAGAAGATGGTCACCAAGCCGCAGTATAGCAGGGCTGTGACAGCGGTTGGAGGAAAGGCCTGCGGGGAGAGGAGAGAGAAAGGGCTGAGAACTAGATGCCTGCATACCAGGCACTGCAGCTCATGCCTGTGATCTCACCCTGCAGAGGGAGAGATTGGGGCCGTCCAGCCGGGGCACCAAGTCCGTAAGACCCCGTCTTCACCACCAGGGGGCGTGGCGCATGACACCATCCCAGCACTTGCAGAGTCCCAGGGAGACCATGGACCAGGCTGGCCCCAGCAGAAGTGGGACCCCACCTCAAAAGGAAAGCAGGTGTGTGTGCCTATGCATATATACACACACCCACTAAGGACGGCGCTGTGTGGGGAGAAGCCCGTGGAGTGATGGCTCTGGACACCTGAGGAGCAATTTAACAAAATAAGCACCAGGAAGTGGACACATGCTGAGGGACCCACAGGGGCAGGGAAGGGGTCATCACTGCACATAGTATGTGCGTGGGAAATGTAAGCCACGGAACCAGGGAGCAGGGACAGGTGTGGTGGTGGTGGTGGTGGTGGTGGTGGTGGTGTGTGTGTGTGTGTGTGTGTGTGTGGTCACTGTCCACAGTGTGCACATGGGAAACCTGAGCCACAGAACCAGGGGGCAGGGACAGGTATGTGAGTATATATGTGTATGTGAGTGTGTGTGTGTGTGTGTGTGTGTGTGTGTGTGTGTGTGCGCACATAGGAAATTTGAGCAATGTAACCAGGGGGCAGGGACAGATATCTGAGTATAAGTGTGTGTGTGTGTGTTGTCACTGCACGTAATGTATGCATGGGAAACATGAGCCTCAGACCAGGGGGCAGGGACAGAGGGGTGTGTGTGTGTGTGTGTGTGTGTGTGTGTGTGTGTGTGGTCACTACATGCACTGTGCACATGGGAAACGTGAGCTACAGAACCAGGGGGCAGGAATGGGGGGCAGGAACAGGACAAAGGAAGAGGTGATGTTAGTGGGGACACAATGCACCCTTGTGTAACTACAATACTGACAACAATAACAGGGCTGGGGTGATAGGGCAGTAGAGCCTCTTCCTAGCAAGCACCAGCACTGAGTTCCAGCCCCAGTATCACCAGGAAAGCATTTTGCCCTGTGGGTTTTGTTCTTGTTGCGAAGCCAGGGTTTGAACTCTGGGCCTCTCCCTGGCTGTACAGGCTCCTGATCCTTAAGCCACACCCCCAACTTTTTTGCTTTCTGGTGTTCTTAGGGTCTTGCGCTCACTTTACCTGAACTGGCCTGCTACCATAGCCCTCCTGAGCTGCACCTGTCCAGCAGTTGGAGTTACAGGTATGAGCTACCATACCTGGCTCAGTTAATTGGGATTACAGGTGTGAGAGCCACACCTGGTTCATTTTGCATCATTCATTGAGCATCCATCTGGCAAGATGGAAGATGTAGAAGGTCGGAGGGAAGAAGGGAGGGAAAGTGGGAAGGAAGGAGGGAGGGAAGGAGGAACCATTAATGGCACCAGAATGTTGCATAGGATCAGCACACTTCCTATTAATCCTCAGACTCCTACAATGGAGGAAGATGCCCACCAGTGCTCATAAAGGTAAAGGATATAAGTGATCACACACGCACCACAGAGGGTGGCCAAGGTTTCAGGAGGCCAAGGAGACAAGGAGAGCACAGTCCTCGGGATTACACAGGTAACCACAGCCTTTTAGATATTCAGCAGCACACCGATGGTCCCTCAAAACAACCACCATGAGGTGGGCTGGGCAAGGCTACTCAACAGCCCACCTTCCACAACTCTCATCAAAGCCCTTACCTGTGGGGGGCAGCTTTGTAAAACTGGACTCACATGTACAGGAGCAGCACCTGTAGGACACAGATCAACGGTGACTTCTGCTGAGAACTGGGGTTATCGGCAGAACAGGTGTTACTTTTGTTATCAGTAACACTCAAATGTACAGTGAACCAGACATAGGACAGGCCAGCTCATCACACATGAGACGTGGGACCCTCTATTGTAAGGAAACCCATAATGAATAAAAACACCAAAATCTGTTCCCTCAAAGGGCTCAGATTCAGGAAGCAGAGGTCAAATATGTGCATGATCCTACACTCAAGATCCAGGCACAATTCCCAGGAGAGACTCCAGGGCAGGGAGGCAGCCACGGCCACCGGCTCTGGGCCTTGAAGGACAGAGATATCTGGGAAGCTGCGGGTGGAAAACAGACTCATTTGTGGCAAGGTAGTACCAGACACTGAGAAGCCATTTCCTCCACTGATGCATTCACTCCATCCTTGCATGGACCCAGGAAGGAGGAGCTCTCATCAGCTCTGCTGAGAGAAACAGGAAGCTGGGGCTTGTGGAAGCTTTCTCCTGCTTGCCTAGGTAACCAGCAGCAGAAACAGAGTATGAATCCAGGCCCATGAGCCTGGTGACTATCAGGCCTCCCTTCTAAGCCAAGGAAAAACACAAAGGTGCACAAAATCGCAGGGGGGGGGGGAGGGCGGGAAACGTGCCTTTGTTCAAGGGTGAGAATGGATCTTGCATCTATAATGAATGCTTTATTATGCAGAATTTCACTTGACCCTCCTGTACAGTGATCATTAACATATCCTCTTCAACCATGAGGAAAGAAAGGTTTAGCTGGTTAGGCGGCTCAGGAGCAGACCAGAACTGTAAGCCCAGGACTTTGAGCCAGGTCAAGCCACACTTAATCACCCAGACAAACTCACCAGCCTGAGACTATTGTTTCCCTGGTTTTACAGAATAGAAAATAAGTGAGACCAGGCAAGTAACTTCCCCCAGGGTCACAGAACTGGTAAGAGGGGGGTCCAAAAGTGAACCCGGGCACCTGCTCCAGAGCCATGGCCGCAACCTCTCTCTGGCCAGAAAAAGAGCAAAGAGGCTGCAGAGTCACTGCCACCTCGAAGGTCACCCTCGGAAACTGTCAGGCAGAAGAGTTCTGCTGTGGAGAGCATGCCAGCATATTGTCTTACAATAAAGTCCTTCAACAGATCCATCACCATGAATTCCTGGCACATAAGATCCAGTGACATCTGGCTTACCAGTTAGGGTCGACCATCATTCCAATTAGGAATACTTAATTCTCCTAAGAAGGTCATCTCTGGACTCACTCTGAAAGCAGTCACTCTCCATGACCCCACCGAGGTGCCCAGCCCCGGAGTGTTCCACACTCAACGAAACTTCCTTACTTCTGCATATTTCTGAACCCAGGGACGTGGAAAGAGCAAGGTGAGTAACAGGTCACCGACCCTGTCTTCCCAGAGCAGAGCAGAAAGAGAGGAGAAAGAACATCAAAGAAACCAAAGCTGGCCTTCCCGCCGGCCCTTTAGTTATCCCCATCTGAGGGAAGGCTCCAGGCCTCAGGCTGGGTACCTGCCAGACAAGGCCGGCCATCCCCTAGCTCAGGGAGCCTGAGTCAGCCCTGCGCCCCGGAGGCGTCCTCCCCGCTCCCCGGTGTGGTCTGTGGGCCTGGGCTGGCTCCCTCCCTCCCGCCCTTCCAGCTCCGGCCTCACCAGGTGCAGGGCCAGGGGCAGCAGCAGCAGGAACAGCCAGAGGTAGAGGTGGCAGCTGTTGGTGAACTTGCTGTGCTCGGGGTCGTGGTACCAGCCGCCCGTGAGCGCGGCCCACACGCCCTGCCGGAGCAGCAGCAGCACCTGGGACCCCATGCCTGCCGCGCCCGCCCGGCTGCGCCCGCGCGGCCCTGGCCTCAACTGGTCAGCAGCATTATGGACACGGGCAGTTCTGAGATGCCTCCCAGGCAGGCCTCGTAGCTGCTGGTTCTATAAAAAG